ATCAAAATGTCGACGTTGAAGGGGTTTGAACAATCACAGTTCCATGACAGTTCTGACCAATCTTGATTTTAATTAGTTGGACTTTATTGCTCATTTATATCATGACATCCATGACAGTAACACAGGGATGTTTCAAGCCTAATATTTACCAAAAACGTTCAAACAAACTGACCCAGTTTCTTCTCCCCTATATTCAGCTAAATCCAAACGGTCCGAGTAACTTGATCCTGTGTTTTGGTCTAATGTTTGTGTGTGAGCTGCACTCTCTGGCCCCTCCTCCTCTCCTGTTGTAGTGGAGCTGCTTCTCTCTACACTCTCACACATTTCCTTGTTTCTAAAAACATCCCAAAATGCTTCAGCGTCACAGCCCTCCAAACAGCAGCGCCCCTGAAGAGGGAGCTGTTGTTTTAACTTTAAGCTGCTCTGAACCAAAGCGGATCCCCAAACCTCATCTAAATTTAGACTATTTGGGTCATTGGCTGTCAATATTCTCTTACTGCAGTTTAGAAAGCTCTGCATCTGACCAACTACAAATCACTGAGTCAAATTAATCATATCCATTGGTATAAGTTGTTAAAATGTTTTATCACTTTTATTTCATTGCCTTTTTAGAATTGGAAATTGTATTAAATCCTAGTACTTCTGTCTTTTAGTGTGTGCCAAAGTGCTCTATAGTTATGTGGCCCATTTTTCCTCTATTATTGTGGCTCACGTTTCTAGAGCCATATTTATTTTTCATGTAGATCTTTTACAGTGAAAATCACACCAGTAAAAGTCTCGTGTGATTAAAACGTGAGCTTCATGAACTGTAGAGATTGAAACCGTCCCACTTTGGTGTTACACAGTAATTGGACTCACACCCTATGAAATGTGACCTTGTGCCTTTATGGGCCCAGTGACCACAAGGACAAAGAATGACCCGTGAAGGACTTCATCACTCAATCAGATGGGACTTATCTTTTATCACTTTGGGCTTTCACTTGTTTAATCAATCAATCCATCAAATTGTATTCATAAAGAGCTTTTCATACTAATACTGCGACACAAAGTCCTTTAGAGTTTGGTTAAAAACATCCCAGCAGAGGTTCCCATGGTGCGCTGGAGATTACAGCAATAATTTATAAGTAGATGTTGCTTGTTCCTCAATTAAAAAGAAAAACTATAAAATGTGAACTCATTAAAAACACCTTGTCCGCCTTTAAGGCCAGTAAAAATGTTATTACTATCAACAGTATATGTTTATTTGCTCCCTGAAGAGGAACTCATTTTCCTTTTATGAATAGCCAGGAGCCAGAATGAAATGAAATTACCCAGATCTATAGCAGCTTTAGTAAACAAGCTGTATACGTGTCTATCTGCTTTTCATTGATAGCCATATGTCTGCTCCTGTGTATGCCTGGGGCTCCAGATATGGGGAGATGTTTCATTACAATATGAGATCTGAGTGCACAAAACCGAATTAAAAGAAACTTTGAAATGCATTTATCAGAATTTTCTCAGTAATCCATTAGCCGTGTTGCACATCTCCTGAGAACAACCTTTTTAACACGCATGCATCGGGCCAGACTTAATTATAACTATAATAAGGAATCGGACGGAAGTAAAGTTTGATAAGGCCGCTAATGACGAGAGTGGAATTTCCCACTCCCTGCTCTCTGAAATACATCTTAATTATTACTCCTTTTAATGTGCTTTTACCATGATTTACTCTTTCATAATTCAAGACAGACATGCTATAATTATTGTCTGTCAGTGTTGCCATAGAAATAGTATCTAGTATCACACCATGTCCTCCCAAGGTGACTACCAGGAGGAGCCTTTTTTTCCAGCAGCTTTTGGTGGTTACGGCGAAGAGTCAGTCCGCCGCGGCACGATGTGGTTGTCTGATTTATGTGGAGCCTCTAATGATATCATATTCAACACTGGAACGAGTCATAAATTAGAGATCAGCTAATGGAGGCCCAGGGCTGCCTTTTTAGCTCGCACTCTCTGCCCGTGCTTCGATTTTTCTTCTCAAGCACTTTTAATTGCTCAAACAAAGAAAAAATTAACATTATTTTAGAGCACATGTTTGAAGCGTCCACTTGTGACCCCCATTAAGATAATAAGAAAGTGATTAAGAAAGTGGAACAGGCCTGGGTTTGAGTGGCCGTTGGAAATCCCCATTCTGCTTTGCTTTCTCTACTCCGAAAACTCAGACAACTCAGGCCATTAGCATTTTATGGAGGAGACGTGTGAAAAGGAGTATTTTTACAGGAAGCGATTATAAATGTAAGCAGCAGCGTAACCAAAAAGTCCCCTCAGCCTTTCTATGAGTAATAACTAACTTCAATCTAAGTACAGCTCAGTAAGAAGAGCTGGCACTGTCTGGTTTCTTTCACTCGTGGATGATTAAAACATTTTCGAAACCAAACCGGTGAACGTTGTCAGGTGAAGTAGTCTGTTTGGCTCCCCGTTCTATGTTGGCTGTAAGCTCTGTTTTGCTCGCGGCGCTAATGTTGTTCTCAGTTGGAATCGTAGCACTCTTATCAGAATCAGAATTATTTTTATTGCCATGTGAGTAACAGGAAGTTGCTTTGGCTCTCGGTGCAAACAAGTCAAAAGTAGAGAATAGAATAAGGCATGGTAAAAATCTATTTACATTATAATTAATTATAACCGTGTGTTTCCCTTTGAGCTTCACTACAGCAGCCGCTTCCGTGTCTGACCAGAAACACGCCATAAATGGGCTTTCAGCAAGTGTTCCAATGCACCATACATACATTTTGACTCAAATGATGTATTATACTGTATATTCATAAAGAAGTAAACTATGAGATTAATCATTTATATAGACCAAGCAAATTTGTCAGTGAATATACCAACAGGACATTGTAGTAAAACCACATCTAGTCTGTTTATATGTTTGTTTTTTTAATCTTCAGTGGTTTGGATGTCAGCATCTGTGCCTGAGAGCTTTTCTAAAAATACACATAAGTCAAGTCTGGGCCACAAGTCTCTCTCGTTTATGCACTAATCTGTTCTGGGCTTGTTTTTTCTTCAGGTTGTTGCAATTGCGTCATAAGTGTCTGTGTGTGTGCTTTGTGCAATACAAACCGTTATTGCATGATCATGATGTGGCAGTAAATGGTTACATCAGTCACATCAGCTCAGATCTGATGCAATGTTTCATTAACCTATTGTTGTCTACAAGGCATCTGGGAGAAGTGTAGCTCAGTTCTATTTGTTTAGTTGTTGAGAAAATGTAAAAGGTTTGACTGTAATCTGCTGAACCACTGATTTCAGTTTGAAGTAAGTAAGTAAGTCATCATTATTTATAGAGCGCCTTTCACAGACCAGAGTCACAAAGCGCTTTACAATTATGGACATTTGTCTCCATTCCACACAGAGATGGGAGCTGGGTCGCCAGTACAGAAGGGGCATACGTCTATTGTACATGTTTTTAGTGGTAGGGGAAACCGGAGCACCTGGAGCAAACCTACACACACACAGGGATGACGCCCATTAATGAGCAAAAAATGTTCTTTCACACATTTCATCTCGAACACTATCAAACAGAAGTGTCCAGTCCATTACAGCTTATCAACCATTAGTGATAGATGTCTCAGATCTTCTTTGCACCAATTTAGTTTAACCTAGCGTTTGATGTGTGCGCGCATAAATGTGTGACGGCTGATGTCATGACTCCCTCTCCGCACTTTGATGGTGTGGGGCTGATGAAGAGACAAAAGCCATCACGCCCAAACAGACCGTACACTTGTTACGCTCGGTGCGTGCAGCATAGGTAGCATAGGTAGAGTGCCTGTAATACTGCTATTGACAAGGCTTTGATCTCTGCGATTGTGCGTCTCGGGAGAATACTCAGGGATTAAGTCTCACCACGTCGACCAATTAGAAGAGACAAATCCGGGTGTAGCCGAGCAGTTACAGTCTGTCGTGCGGATTGACTAATAGATTCCGCGAAGCAATGTAAACAAATCCAATGTCTAGTTCACTTTTCCCGTCTAATTTGTTGTTAACAACGTCCTCGCATAATCGCTGTTTGTTTGCAGCGGTTTGGTATGGAGCGTCTTGTCAACAGTTCTAAAGGGTTCATTCAAAGGGTAGTGTTGTTGGATGTCATTAGTGTTGCTCTGAGCTGAAAGAAATAACGAAAAAATAAACAGACAAATAATTGTCAAGGAAAATAAGTTGTTTAGACAGCGCTGTGGCCTTTGTGTCTTCTTCGTACTAAATCCATGAGATGAAGTGTTTGGTGGTGTTATTAGGAAAGTGTGAAACGCAGAAAGAAAGACATTCTCCGGGAACGTCGGTGGAGAATACATTTCTAATCAAAGTGAAGTGTGAAGTCTGGTTCTTACACATCCCACGTCGGTGAAGACGGCTTCTATACGGCGCTCCCATAAACATAAACGTAAATGAATGAATAAAACATGGCTACACTTTGAACTTTGTCTCAGATGAATTTGGTGTACTATTGAAGGAATGCATAGACTTTAAACACGTTCTTCAGATAGAATAAATCGCACAGTTTGATAGCTATGAATATTTCACTTTGTTTTATTCATTTGGTCTTTCAAAATGACACAATTGCATCAGATGTTTACTAATTCTCAGTATGTGTGCAAGAAAATATAATCCTCTTTTGAATTAGTACCCCGGCCATTTACTTAAGGAATGTAATTATTTATAAAGTAGTAAAAAATGTTGATTAATATTGAATGTACACATACAAGTCTCCAACTGAAAGTGGTTATAAGTGAATGGTGTTCTTAATGTGTTTTGCATCCGCTTTTTTCACTAAGTCTTGCACAGACCAATCGCAGATCACACTGAAAAGGAGAAAACATGTGATTCTGAGTTCAAGTGCGTATTAAACTTATGATGTATTCATGAATCACGGTCAAATGATACAAAGACGCCCATGTCTTATTACTTCAATCTTGTTCAGTTCTGCTGCTCTTCGTCTCTGATAAAGCGCTGTTTGTGTTGTGTTTCAGGCGCTCTGAAGAGGAGGTGGACATGGACAAAGTGACTGCAGCCATGGTGCTGACCAGTCTGTCCACCAGCCCATTGGTCCGGAGCCCTCCTGTCAAAGTTAGCGGTGAGTGTCATCTGTCTAACCTTTCAGATTTGGTGTTCATTTTGCTCGGGTCATGGGGTCCTGAGTTTTGGACGGGGAAAGTGGACACGTTTCATTACAGGCACAGTGAAGTGCACCACACCTTGATTCAGCCAAACTTTCTAAGAAATTGACTAAAAACTATTTCCAATATGCTGGATGGTGTGTGGATGCTGCTCAGGGGTCTTTAACCTTTTATCATCGTACAGATGCATTTTCGGAAAAAAAAATGGGAGAAAGTTTCTCCTTAAGCAGTTGAAAGGAATCCAGTCGATATAATGGTGAGCTGGAGGTGGATTGGAAAGTCGTCTCTGCTTCGACTACTGCCCCCATGACCTGGCAACGGATAAAGCGGAAGAGCGTGGATTGCTAGCTTAAGATGGGGTACAATTAATTGTAATTTCTAAATCCTTTGGGAAGCAACTTTAAAGTGGGTGGAGAACTACTAGTAACTCCTGAGCCAAAGGTTGGAGGTCCTTGCACTAAACACTAACTAAATATGTGCGTCAACATAATTATTTATTCTCATAATTAACTGCTTCTGATCAAGTGCTTAACCAAAGCGGGTTATTTGTCCTTTGAGCCACAGTTGTTATCTGGTGAATGCATGTGTAGCTTGCATTGAGAACTCGCCGCCACCTGCTGTGCTTCATATCCCGTTGTTACTAAAGCTGTAGAAAGCACTGTGTTTTTGGCCTCTAGAGTGCTCATCTACAAGCTGCAGTTTGTTTAGTTTAGAGCTACATAAACATGAATAAAACAGGTTTAACGTATTGCATGATCACTATTTTTATTTGATATAAATCCCATTTAATTTGCTACGTAATTCTCTCACTCTCTTGCTTTTACAGCCAAGTATTGGATTTAGATCGTTCTAGAAAAATACACAACTGTCCTTAATGTTTTGATTTTTATATATATATATATATATATATATATATATATATATATATATATATATTTGATGTATTTAATTTTATGTTTTATTATTATAATTACTATTTTTTATTTATTTAAAAACAATTGAAATGCCAAAACAAAATAAATATTACAATGAAAAGAAAAGCACTCCGATTTCAAAGTCAAAGCCATTAATGTAAACAACCATTGTATCGCTCTTTTATCATTCAATCTTTAATACTTTAGTTAAATGCATAACTGAAAGATGCACTTTAAATGAGATGAGACTTTGCCTGATTTTAATTAATTTAATAATTTTGACCTTCTTAATCCTAATTACACAGCCATTCAACTTCTGGCCCCTGTCTGTCCTGTGGCCCCTGTCTGTCTTGTGGCCCCTGTCTGTCCTGTGGCCCCTGTCTGTCTTGTGGCCCCTGTCTGTCCTGTGGCCCCTGTCTGTCCTGTGGCCCCTGTCTGTCTTGTGGCCCCTGTCTGTCCTGTGGCCCCTGTCTGTCCTGTGGCCCGTGTCCGTCCTGTGGCCCCTGTCTGTCCTGTGGCCCCTGTCTGTCCTGTGGGCCCTGGGCGGACCCTTGCTCCCATCCCTTGTGTGGGACTGAGACGAGCCCAGAGCCTTGTTCACACAGACATGCCTAACATGACTCCAGACACCTGAGTCTGTAATAAACGTGTTCAAACATGAGTCGTGGCCGGTCGCCATGTTCTGTGTGGATCAGTGATGCAGAGCGGCAGCAGCAGCAGCAGCAGCAGCAGTCAGGACACTACATCAGGGATGGCTGCGCTTAGCTGCAATACATGTTGTAATTAATTGAAATTTCCACCTTGATTAAGATTAATGACTAAATGAATGCAATGAATGGCCTTTTGTTTCTGACCAATTCCACTGACAGGATTTAATCAACATATCTTAATCCATGTCATACTGTTAAACAAGCATAAAGATAAGGTTTTTAATGAATATATTCCATACAGCAAATGTAGACTTTTCCCACAGAAACATGTGTTTTTGGTTATTCCTTTTCCTATTTCTTCCTCTTTACATTTGTTACAAAATATATTAGAAATAAACGATGGATCCAATCTATTACCAACAAAACTTTCCCTTTGTCTTCACACTGGGAACTGCTGTTAATAATATATTGAAAAAGGGAAGATGTCTTTGATGTATAAAGTAAAATAGTGGCCTTGAGTGTGCATCTGGTGAATAACAAAACAGGGAAGCAACCTTTATTTTCCTGTGTCACAGTCAACAGCGCTGCTGGGAGCTCCTCTGTCTGAAGTGCAAATGAAGGCGTCTGAACATAATTGAATGTCTTGATCTTCCATCACTGACAGTAGAACTCCCACCAGCTTTTGCAGCACACTGTATTTATCAATACACGAGGAGAGGCTGTATTAATGCTCTGTTGCCTTTGTCTTTGCTTCTCAGAGGCTCTGAGTGGTTCATGGAAGGACAATGGTTCGGCGGGACCCTTCACTCCCTCAAGCAACAGCTCCTCTGGGGGCTACTGGAGCTGGTCTGCTCCCAGTGACCAGTCCAACCCCTCCACCCCCTCACCCCCACTGTCCGCAGACAGCTTCAAACCCTTCAAAGTGCCCAGTCTGGGGCCAGGACCAGTCCCCACTGGACTTGAGGACCCAAGTCTGGAAGAACAGGATGGCAGCAGTCTGCTGTTTGATGAGCCCATTCCACGCAAACGCAAGGTCAGAAATCACCAATATTCTACCTTCCACCATGATGATGGCTTTAAAATGCTCTCCTTTGGATAACACATAACACATTAATAGTGCAATCAATAATAGTACTAAGTTTTATGCTAGTTCAAAAATAGATCAACTTCTTCATGAAAATTGTTCAGAAAAGATCCAATTTAATTTATGATTTTTCTTTGATTTTCTATTCTTTCTGAAGCGAGTGTCTAGTGTTGATGCTTGTTTTGGAATCTATTCATTCCTGAAACCCTAAAGTGGAGCATTTACAACAGCCACACTTTTAACTAGTCAGTATTATTGGCCTCCCACTGTCACACCTACACTGCCATAAAAGAAAACTTATCTTGTCCACGCTAATGTAGTTTTAATGCTCCGTTAAGTGACTGTATGGTTCAGATTTGGCTGTGGGTTCAGCTGTTTCCCGCCTCACTCTACATGTCACTGTCATGATCTTATAAACTCTATAGGTTCAGAGGCACTTTCAGCTTCACACATTTATTTTTACAGCGCAGTGAAACTGTCACACTAAACTGGTGCAGAGGAGGGCGGCAGCGGCGGCAGAGGCCCGTATGGTAATGGGCACATCTCTCTATAAGGACTCTCTGAAGTTCTGTCTGCGGCCCTGTCACGAGGGCTGCTTGATTTGCTCCACCGTCGTGCGGCGTCTCCATCAGAGGGGTTATGGCGCCGCAGACGGATGGCACATCTCACACACACAACAGTTTGGTGATCTCCAGATGTTGTCCGCACACAGCAGCGCCACTTGTCATCTCCGCCCCGTCCCGTTCAGGCTCACGCTGACAGCTCATCACACTCGCCGCACTGTCATTCATTATTTTCCACATGTATATTGCTTCTCTCCCCTTCGCCTCGCGTCTCCCTCCTCATTCTTATGCTCTTGGTCCTCTGGGCCATCAGCTCTCTCAATCTATTTCATATAATTACCTTTATACATCACGGAACTTCATTACACAACATAAATGCTGTATTCAGACCAGAGATTTGCTGACAATTCTGAATTCTTTTTGTAAAATTTGAGGATGAATTAAAGTGTGGGTGTCTAACTTTTTCGTTTCATGAATAATATTTTGCAGCTTTTGTAATTAAAATGTTGTGAATTAAATAAACCACAAAATGGTACAGTGATCTTTACTTTTGCATTTTGTAAGAAAGAGCTCTGTGCTCTGAGTATTGGGTGGCAGCTCTGATTGCCACCGGGCTCTTCACCATCCCATACAATTTAGACCCCAATTCAACTCAGTCCATCCAGGAGATTTTGGGCAGTCCTTCTACAGACACACGCAGAGTTTAAAATTAAAATACCCTGTCGCCCCCTGTTTGTGGTGTATTAATCTCTTTTGACTGTTACGGCTCGAAACAGAGACTAAAGCCACAAACTGAAACATTTCTGCAAAAGAATAGTATAGTTTCCCTGCAACTCACATCTGTACTTTAACTATTGTATAAAAAAAAAAATCAGGATTTCAAATATTACTTAAATATTGGTGACCCCGCTCCATAATTTAGCAGCAGTATTATTGAATTTTCTTTCCTGAAATCACCCACAAAGGCCTTTCTGTGTCCCGTGAGCTCTGACCCTGCACATGTGAACCTCATAGTGGCCCTGGCTCTGGCACAGGCTGACCCTCACCAGAAGAAAAAAAACTCTTAATGATTTTAATGCCTGCTTCAGCAAACCTAAAGATCTGACTTCATGTTGGCTCCATCAAATCAATAAGGGCCCTTGGGTGAGCTGCACATACACTGTATTAATTGGAGACTTATCACATTCGTAGATGGATGAGGGAGTAATGGAAAAGGGGAAAGGAGAGTGGAGTAATGGAAGGAACTAAAGAAAAATAGGTGGGCTTCGAAGGACGTCTTCTCAAAATGTCAAAGCTAATGACCGGAGAACTACGCAAGAATGAAATTATGGAAAATTTGAGAAAAAGGTTAATAATTGGATATAATTGAGAAAATGTATGGATTTCTGAATAAACCTGTAGATGTCACTTTGAAGAGATTCAGTGGAAGCCAGGAGGGAGCTGAAAGGATCACACCACCAGCAGGATAGAGAGAGATTATTAGGATGGATAGGACTTAGCCGGAGGGATCGATAGAAGAGCCAAGAAGAGTATGCGATGATGGAGGAAAGTGTATGCCTTTTTTTTCCTAAGAAACCTAAAGCAAGCTGAAAGAATGGACTTCTAAAGTGGGTAAACAGGCCGGTGGTTTGGTTGGACAGAGGGGTATATTGGGAGTACAGAGGAAAGCTCAAAGGAAGCATCGATGTTTCTGAAGGAAAGCACTGAATAGTCAGATTAATGTTGCTCTCTTGGTTGTAAAGGTATTGGAAAGGAGTAGCAATTGGATTTAAAGTAGCAATATGTAAGATTTTCATATCAAGTCATCACTAAATTGCCCTAATCTTAACAAAACATGTTCTTTTCAAATGCAAATCAGCCGAGATATCAGAATTTCAAAATTAGTTTTACAGTCCCTAAATCTTGTCCCGCCCTCCACCGTTTTACCAATCAGAAAGTCCGTGATCCGGGTTGCCAGAACTCACCACGTCGAGCCGATATAACTGATAGTGAGTCACATGTGGCCGCAGAACTAAAGCAAGGTCTCGTTATGATTCTCATATCATTAACAACAAAACAAGGAATAAAACCAGGATTTCTATCTTTGGGAAAAAAGTGTTGTTTATAGATTTGTTGTTGATAAAACTGTTTATTTGGATAGTAATGGTCCCAGCTGGATTCGTCTGCATATCTGGCAACCTGAGTCAGTGAGAGTGCAGTACCACTTTTGGTCAGATTTTGAACATACTGCTCCTTTAAAACTCTCCCCAAAAGCTGGAAAAAAATGAATGTACCGTATACAATAGCTCCAGTGGATCAACATTTAAAGGTGCTTTTACACCACTGACGCTGGAACGCTGACACCTCGCGCATCAGACGCACATTCTCTAATTTTCAGACACAGGGGTCTTCACACCAGAAGTCCTGGGCTGCGGTGACGCCCGCCGGAAGTAGCAGGCGGACTTTGATGCTAACGGAGTTAAGCTAGCGGCTTTTTGTGTAAAGTTTTTCTCCAATAATGCAGCTCTGCAGCGTCTCTGTGTCCAGAGACCTTCCAGAGACTATATAACAGTAGTATGTGTTCACAGAGGTGCGCCATACTTTTATTTTAGTAATCAAACGGTACTTCTGCATTGGCAAACACGCTTGAAGCAGTTGCATAAAGTCACAGGAGCATGACAAAGCATGTTCACAAGCACAGAGTCCCCCATTGTCAACCCTGGTTTAGTCCTGATGTAGCTCCTGTTTTTGCTGTTTACGAGTATGTTCAGTCTGCTCGCTCAGACCGCTATTGTCCCCGTGACCACTTTGCGGCTCTCTGATTGGTCGCTGCACGAGCGTCCCGAGGAAACGCTCAGCATTATTTATCTCCTGCGTGCGTCGATTTTACGCTCCCGCGCCTTTGTCGCGCAGTCTGTGCGTCTCTACCGCGCAGTCCGTGTGTGCATCCCGAGACGCACTCGCAGTTCCACGCTCAAACGCGCGTCACTTTTGACTTTGCATTGAAAGTCGACGCAACGCATGATCCGGTGTGAAAGCACCATCACTCCACTGTGTCAACCCAGACGCTGATAATAGGAGGCAGCAGAGGTAACATGGCCCGTCCTAAACACCATGGCATAAACACAAGCACAGTGTACAAATAGTGTAGTGATAGTTTCAGGGGAAATGACTCATCTGGAGCTCCCTCTGCTGCGAGACAATGGCTTTCAGAGCTCCCCCATTTAATTAACTGTGAAATGACTCTTTACTGGGAACCTTACACACGGAGCCTCACTACACCGGCCTTTGTTACCACTAATCTAAACAACGGACAATCATATGGAGGCACGTGTGTTTAGAATAAGGAAGGGGGGAAAAAACAGCTTGTCAAAATGAACTAGTCCTCCAGCAATACAATAGTGTGATGGACAGGGCTATAGGAGCGGTTATAAAAGCGGGGGGAGGTGGGGGGGAGAGCTCACTGGACATTTCTCTCGATAAAACAATGTGCAGTGTCCGTAGGGGGCGGCGGTGTAATTACAGTGGAGGGGGGAGTGGAGAATTTACTGCCAGCCTGGTTAACTTATTTAGAAGAAAGATATACGTCCTCCACATTAATTCCAAAATGGTTTTTCAAGCTGCGACAATAGCGTTGAGTTTTTCTTCTACATAGTTTGACATACAATAGAAAAATGCAGGCACAGGGTTGTACAAGGTAACCCAGACAATGTGTTCTGTGTGGCTGAGCAAAGTAATAGTGTGGACAGAGGCAGCAAATGGCATTTTAGACAACAAAAAGCTCCACTTAATAAATCAATATCAGTTTAGGCGGCTGCTATATCTAGAATATTTCAGCTCCTTATCACAGTGGGTCAGCCATGCCCAGTTATAATGGATGGGTGTGTTGACATTCGCCTCGAAACCATCAAACTGAGCCGACTGTAGGTCATGCTCGCTGCCTGTCACACAACCACATCTAAAATCTCACTCTTATGGAATTGTGGAGCCTATATATAAGAAACATAGACAATCAATTATGTGCTGTCATATAGAAACAAAGAACATTTAGAGGAAGTGTGCGGTCTACACGGAACAGGGCCGGCAGCTCAGAGCGGCTCTTTGTCCGTGCTGCCATTGATATTGATAGTTTCCTTGTGGCAGGTTTGTATTGTTAAATAGACACACATTTGTAGATATATCATCAATGCTTCGAAATATATACATTATCTTACAGAAGCAATAGTATTTACATGAATGTCACAAGATAAAAGAATAAACTAAATAATACATTTACTGTACATTGTGCCATTCCTTTTTAATCTTCATAGGCCGTGAATGTATATATGTAACTTTGCATTAAATTATTAAATCAAGAACTTTTAATTTTGATTCGAGATGGGGCTGCACATTTTTTTTCAAAGTATCAATTTTGACCATCATAGCAAATACAATGCCATTTATTATATACTTTATGTTATAAAAAACAGTATATGAACCAATGAGTTAATACACAATGATCACACATTCCATGTTACTGGAGCTCCAAACTTTTGTAGAGATCATTTTGGTAAAATAACAGGTACATAGTAAATAGACTGATCTGGTAGTCTTATTTAAGCTAAATTTGACTCTTTAAACAAGTTTTGCCAATGGGACAATCCCAAATGTTTTGTATCTTGCACAGTAGCCATTTTTTTATCATCTATGAACAAATTCTAGATGTGTTTTAGTATCTGGATAGGGTTCCACATGGACACTGCAGCTTTATTCACATGGGCTGTAGGAAATCTTTCCATAGACCTCAATGTTAACTAAAACAGCATGTCGTCAGAACCTACAGCTTTCACAAAGGTCAGACGTTGTGGAATAGTCTTCCTTGTCATCTGGAACTGTTTTTCTTTTTAAAATCCATCGGTTTCTCAGAGCTGGCCAAAATGCGTCATTTCCGCTTATGTTTATGACGTCTGTGGTGCGAGCATCGCCAGTGATGCACCGGTCATTGATTTGGGCAGACATCTTGGAGGCCTGGGGCTTAAATCATGAGAAATGTCATTTTGTTCAACCTTTTTATGGGTATATTTTGCAGTGTATTGGACTATATTCATGAATGTTTCAGGTGGTCTTTATGCAGCTGTTGTGTTCATACCTGCAGGCTTTATCCCATCATCAATATGTATTTCCTGTGTCTTTTGCAGAACTCTATGAAGGTGATGTTCAAGTGTTTGTGGAAGAACTGTGGAAAGGTCCTTAGTTCGTCTGCAGGCATCCAGAGGCACATCCGCACCATCCACCTGGGGTAAGTCCCAAACGCTCTCCCCTCTCTATAGTCGCTACTGTACCATTATTATGAGTCCAGAAGAATCCAAGACCGACCTTCTGCTCAGAGGCCAAAGCACAACGCAGCGTTTCAAGCGCTGAGCTGAATATGGGGGCGGGTTCACCTGCTGAGGACAGGTGGCGATAGAGAAGATAAGAATGAGCGATGGAATCGGCTGAAAGAAGAGGGAGGGACGGGGCCTACAGGTTCTGAATTTACAGTATGTCCCACCCACGACACCCTCCACCTGGAAACTCAAGCCGCCCCTCATCACTGTCACTGTCCCCCTGCCCGCTCCCGTGTGGGACGCAGATTAATGGTTGATGGATTATTGCCACGGTAACGCAGTTTCTCCATGACACAAGCTCGGAGCGGAGGACAACGATAGCGGATGGATCACACATTTCTACTGACATTCAATTAAAGCAGGGCCCTTGTGCACACTGATTAACTGCAGATTGTGTTGTTGTTGGTGTGGCCATTAATGCTGAAGGGGGCTGGGGGCTTTGACTCCGGTGTAGGAAAGTAATCTTTTACACTTGATCTAGAAGAGCCGTTTAACCCTTTTTGTGTTTTCAGTCAGAAAGTTTGTACTCCATTTGAAATTGAAACATGTAGTCATTTGTGATGTTAAAAATTGATCAAAACACCCTGCAGAAAACTCTCTACAGGTGAAACTATTATTAGAATACTGTTAAAAAGTCAATTTACTGTAATTCAACTTACAATGTGAAATATATGAAAGATGAAATGGACACAAAGTGAGATTTATCCAGCCATTATTTGTTTTCATGTTGATAATTGTGTCACTGCTTGTAAAACACAAATAAAACATCTAGAATATTGAAAACGGACTGTAAACAAAGGCTTATGTTGCCAATGTCATCCCATTGGTTTCACATTTTAAGTTGAATTAAATTAATTTGAACTTCTAATTTTCCGTTACTTAGATGAATTGGTCGGCCAGAGCCATGTCAAGTCGTTTCATTAATATTTTTTATTAATAGTTAGTAGTAATTATTTGAGGTGTTCTTTGCCTATACAGTTGTTTTTGCTTGAAAGGGTTTGAATGTTTTTGTTACGCCACTTTTAGTTGACTAATCCATCAAATGGGTCGAGTGAGAATGTCTTAGGGTTAGACTACAGCCCTAAATCCTTGTCTTTGTGGAAACCGTTTGCGAGGATGAAAAATGAATCCTGATGCGTCTTTGTGTCCAGGCGAAACTGTGACTCGGACTGCAGCGACGGCGAGGAGGACTTCTACTACACCGAGATCAAACTCAACACAGACTCGGTGGCGGACGGTCTGAGCAGCCTGTCCCCCGTCTCGCCCTCGGTCCTGTCCCCCGCTGCTCCTCCCCCCTCCCCTCTGCCCGGTGCAGGAAACTCGGACCTCCACATACCTCCGCAGTTTGACCCCAAGGAGCCCCACGTGGGAGGCACCACCCCCCTGAGCCGCTCCGCCCCCAGCGCTCTCTACCTCATCCACACGGACCACGCCTACCAGGTCTGCTCCTCACACTGCTGCATCAATGCTCAGGCAATCAATACTCTCCGGTCACAGAGCGGAGCGTCAGGACACACACGGTGCACTCAAGCAGCGACTCATGTTTACCAAATACACCAATCTGTTTTTGCTTCACACCAGCGAGTCACAAGCTAACACTTGTTTTATTGATGTTCAGAGTTTACAGCAATTAGCTACATACATGTTCAATATAAGCTCAGCAGAGTAGGGCCTGCAACTTGTGAGAATGATTGGTGGTGGTCAGAAGGAGGTATTGGCACAGATTAATAGCCTAGCTTCTGTTAGACTGCCCCAGGGTAGCTATGGCTTCACTAACAACGGCCATGTTTGAAGTGAATGAATAATGCCATGCCACGTGTTTGGCTGTTGCAAAAAGCGCTATATAAGTACATTTCTATCTCCTGACATTAGATATTCACTAAGGCTGCTCTTCTTTTGAATCCTCAGGCCACAACTCCTGTTTCCATCCCGTCCAACGGAAACAACATGAACGGCTCCACCAGCTTCACTCCCACCAACAGCTCCAACTTCAGCATCTCCTGGCAGTCTCCACCCGTCTCTTTCACGGGCAACTCGGTACACTTGTCTTTCACCTGCACTCACTACATTCCAGAGTTTGATCAACATTTCACTCTTTATGTCTTTGTTGTTTATAGATGTCGCCATCGAAGAGCCAGGGCTTTGGGGAGCGCTCCCAAACCATCGCCGTCTTGTCATCGCCTCCTCGAGCCTCCACTGCCCTCAGGTACAGGAAAAAGTCAATTCTCCTTCAATGAAACACAAAACAACTATACACTAACCTATTTTTATCATGTTTCCTGAAGTCGGAAGGTGCGCGGTGAGGGAAAGAAGTGCCGCAAAGTGTACGGGATGGAGAACCGCGACATGTGGTGCACGGCCTGCCGCTGGAAGAAGGCCTGTCAGAGATTCACCGACTGAGCACCTGAGCAGCCTGTCAAACAGGCTCTGCTCCAGCGAGGGAGGGGGCGCACTTTGCATGTTTTTCTTCTGCTCGACATCCTCCAAAAGCTCCAGGACCCACCCTCGATAATCCCCCCATTTGCCCTCTTCCCACTCCAAACCATTCCTCCACAGGATGGCGCAGCCGGGCTTTACTGTTCCGTCCAAGATTCCCAAACGTTGCCTCGCTCCTCCCGATCCTCTTTGGGAAACTCCAGTGCAGCTACACTATGTGATAGAAAACCTCAAATTTGATCAAAGAGGTTTTTTCTTGTTATGTTTGATTCAGTGTTGCATTTGACTCTTTTACTGGAAAGTGTGATCAAGAAAGATTTCCAAAAAAAGGTGCACTTTTTTTGATTTATTGTTGGACAGAAACGGAAGAAAGGCCTTTTGAAAAAAACATTGTGAGAAAAGTCAGAGGTGAAGCTGTTTTTCTTCCTTCAGTGTGTTCATCTGATTTCTGGGCTTCTTGAGGAGGTCTTATTATCACGTCCATTACAGCCTCTTCACTGCTCTCCACAGCCCAAAACTAACGCTGATGAATTAAAGATGGATGATCAATGCAAGAAAGATCCAAATACTACAGGCAGGGAACCAAGATGGACCACTTTGAACTGCTAGAGAAATATTACAATCAGCCGAGGTAATATTTGAACCGTTTTCAGTTTTCAGGAAGATATTTTTACAGAACGCAACCAGCAGCAGTTAAAGCTTTTTGGGTTAACCTCATCTACAGCTTATCCACACAACTTTTAACAACCAAAAACTATCTTCTTTTAAATAGTTGTGTTAAAGTGCCATGTTTTACTCGCTTTTTTTTTTTTTTTTTTTTTTTTTTTATCTTTCCACTGTTATGTCTAAAACCAAGACTGTTTATGTACGTACCTTGCAAGGATGAATTTACAAGGACCCTCGTGTTGACAGTGGTGTGTGTGAAAGAATGCCCTCCTCTTCCGCCATCTTGACCACTCTCCCCAAGGGAACTTTTTAGTAGTGAGGTGCATCGGCAAACCAAAGGGGGCACTTCTACCAAAAGCAAAGCACTTGCACTGTATGTGTCAAACAGAGAACTTGGTACTCATGTTAGCACTCTGTGGTTCATCAAATATTTCATTTTGAGTAAAAGAGCTATCGAGACTTAACCCAATCTCAATTCATGAAATGAGAGAGAAGCACTTGTTTGATTCATTTCTTTATTGAAAATATCTAGATATATTGCATTTAAGCTGTGGCTAAGCTTTTCCCCAGCTTCCTTGTTCCAGGCACTTTGTTTTAAAAAGATTCAAAAATATATTATATTCTGGCAGATGGACCAATAGAAAAGGTTATTGGGAAGGGACATACTGTGTAAGCCATTGTTTCTTCATTAGGAGGTTGAATATTTGTAATGCATGCTAATACATAGCATACTGAGTTATTAGAGACCAACACCAGCTGATAAACTGACTTCACATATTGGGTTTAAGTACGTCTAAAGCTCTTGTTTTCAGCTACTTTCTGTAGCTGCATACTACGGTTTTCAACATTTTACATCAAGGATATATTGTACTGATAGACCTTTTGGGGTGCTTTTATTTTGAAAACTAGAGATTAGCCTTAACGTCACATTCATTGTCCAATATGTGATATAAACGTATTAAGCAATGTATTATGTTTACAAGATAAAACAGATCTATATATAGTTAAGACATGTTGGGGTTTATTTCAAAGCAAAAAAAATAATTGGTAATTTGTTTTATTTCCACAAACATTATGTATCTATATTGGAAATGGATTTTGTTTTCATGTTCTGGCTAAGATGTATATCTATAGGAGGGAGTCATTTACATGTTCTGCCTGAGTGTTTCCTCCCAGTGTGTGTGACCTGTGCACTCTCGCCTTGGGCTCCTACACACTCCCCACCTTCCCAGCTGCATTAGCCGTCCAAAAGCTACACTTGATTAAAACCTTTATCTTATTTCCAATTCTCCTCTGCTGGGGTTGTCACCGTGGCTCATTCGTAATTAGTTTGATTGACAGCCCAGTGTTTTTGTGTGTTTGTGGAGGTCCCCCAGGCGAAGTGCTCGGGCCAACGCCGCTGCTGCACGATGTGCTCAGCTCCACTTAAGGAGTCCCCATCCCTTCATCTAACATCCTGAGGTGGTTGACCTCCCCCTGTCACACTGGTCTAGGGGCAGGTGTGACAAATGTGTCCAGTTTAAAAGATCATATTTGTTATATATGTTTTATTGGCTGAATGTTGTACATCATGCACTACCCACTGCCCTTACTCCATCATTGTGGTGCTTTGTGTTTTGTGGTCGGGCCATATCCTTCCTGTATTGGAGTGTGGGAAAAACTGGCAGCCAATCAGATGCTTTCCGGATCCAGTCCAAAAACAAGCCTTTTGTTCATCTGGTCATTCTGATAGGCAGCTAAATTGAATTACAACTTTAAATTACATTTGTAAGTTGTAAACTCCACGTTGGCAGCGTAGAAGTGGGTTTGTTATGGACTGGATCCTGCCTGCGTCGCTGTTGTCCAGACAACATCTTCACTACCAGTGGCACAAAGGTGACCTTAAACACAAGGTGCTTTCTACAGGCTCTGAGCACCATCTCTTTGTGATGGTCCTGGCACTGTGCCCTGTGCAGGGGAGAAACGAAGGTGCTATTTACCAAAGCTAACTCTCCCTGTGTCGAATATTTACTTATACATTTTGTACACATTGTTTTGTTGTAGAACATGAAAATAAAAACACCCTGCTTCAAGTCAAATCAAAAGTGTCCACTAAAATGGTCACCATTATAAGTGTTTTCTTTTTTTCTGTAATTTATATGCACTAATCAGGCATCACATGAAATACTACAAAGATAATATACATAGTTAATCAAACTGGGCTTAACTTCTTTCCATTATCATTTTTCTTCTGTTTCTAAAGATCCCACAGCGTCACACTGCCTTATCAGATTCGGTTTGCTCAGTTGTTCAAACATAAAATTATTCCATCACTTTATTGAAGCCACCTAGTTTGAATATTCATTTTCACTCATCGCATTCTGGCTTGTGAATACTGATTGGGCGCTCTAATTACAAAAGCGGGAAAAAAACAACAAAGATCCTTGAAACTTTAAATTCCCTTAGACCGCAGGATCTTGCATGATTAGTTTCCCATGGAGCATATCTGACAAAAGAAAGACTGATCACTGCAGTCCTAAATGGTAAAGTAATGCTGCCAAAGCTGCCATATGTGATCATGTTATTGATGCGCGAGTGTTTAACTCCCACCTTAGGGCGAGAGGCTTTGAGCTCTGGAACCGCTGGGCTGCCGTCATCAACCTGTTTCATATAGCAGAATTAAAACTGGCATCAAAGAGCCACAATAGGCGGTCCTGTTGCTAAAGAGCGAGTGATATGAATACTTATGAGGAGTTTTTTTCCCTCTTATTCTTATGAGTGGCAGCGCCCGGTCAGCCTTTTGTTCTCCAGTGTGTTTACCCCCTCCTGCTGCTGTCTATTATAAAGGCCCTAGTGTGATTTATAAGACTGAATTAAACAAGATGGCATTATTCTGCTTACCCAAGGTGTACAAACCTACCAACATGAGTTATGGTGAACCCTGGGTGTGTATATATATATATGTATTACACACACACACACACACACACACACACACACACACTGGCTGTCCAGTGGTGGCTCTCACTGAGGTTCATGTGTTGACACTTTTATGAGTGTTTCTAGTTTATGGACCTGATCCTTGGACAGTTTGGTAAATCATATGTGGCAAGACTTGTTTGTAACGAGATGCTTATTATATCTTATATCATCAAGTGTAAGTCAATAGCTCAATATTCCGTACAGACACTAAGCTGTAGTTCCAGTTGTATATCTCTGCTACAGTACAGCGTGAGCGTTATCATCCTGTGTCTCATCTCAAATCCGCCTGTTCGTATGCAGTACATTTGGCTTCATATATTTGTCAAAGATACTCAACCTTCTGTGGCTATAGTGTAGTGCGCTGTCTATATCAGTATATCATTCACACTACTGTCCAAAGGGGAAATGTTAGTTATTAGAAATCCAACCCACAATGCATCTTTGAGGTTCCCCTTGCCTCTGTGCTAGACTCACTGTAGAAAGTATAAACGCCATTTTATTTGGACTGATCTTGGACCCTTGCCCATATGGGTCTTCAACATATTTTCAAAGTGTAATAGTTGTCTATGTCTTTATGTAAAGTTAAAACGTCAAATGAGTAAAAACAGCTGTGTGAAAGACGTCAGTGTCATATACACCCAGTCTGTCACACTTGAGTACAGCGTTGCCTTGCATGACCCTAAGTGTCTCCAGCATCAACATCTGACACCGAGACTAGTTTCCATGGTGACCACCCTGATGTCCAGGTCATGCAGCTCCAACACATCTCTGCCCGTGCGGAGCGAGGCTGCTGTCAATAAAAAGGGGAGGGACCTTCTGTTTGTTCATTCAGGAATGTGCTCCAGCAGAAGGTCAATGGGGAGATAAACAACACACACATTACACAGATGCTTTCTAAGTCTTTATTTCTAAAGGAGGGATATAGGAGTGCTGAATGTGCCTTGATGAGAGCAGAGTTTTCTGTGTGAAGCTCTAAGCACTGGTGTGTTGCTGTGATTTGCAGGGCCACGGCAACAGTAAAAGAATGTCTCTGGTGCTGGCTAGTCTGAGTTCTGCTTTCTATACTTCTATCTCAAAGATTTGTGATACAAAGATCATGTGAGTGGTGTCAAGGGCCCCTTTGGCCCTTTCATGGTTGTAGAAAGATGTTACTGTAAGGAACCCTCAAAGTCTGAGTGACTTTTCTACTCTTTGCTGTAACTAATTTTGACTCAACCTTATAATAATACTGTGTTTTTGATGTGTTGTGCTCTGTAATCCTTGTTCTTTGTTTTCCCAAACATCAACCTCTCTCCCTTTGGTACAAGGGCTTGTACATAAGTGTGTGTTGATGTGAA